GTCAAATCGCATAGGAAGGACGGGTGCAACCTCCCCATGGGGGAACCCTTGCATCCTTGCCTCCTCGGTGCATCCTTGGGCACTTCCGTTGGCCGCGCCCCGCCCGGAAAGCTTGGAAATGGGCGTCCGAGGCCCTTTGCATCCTCATCGCGCATCCTCATGTTACGGGCCGAGCGTACACCACACTCGCACCACAGATGCGGCACAGATGCACGGCAACCGGGCTTCGGATGCCCTTGGCCGCCACGGGTGCGTTCCGGGGGATTCGAGGAGATGCCGCCCGCGGCCCAGGAATGTTGGGGTCCACGTTGGAATGCGAGTGTAAGGAATCAGTGCAGTTCTGGAGGCTGTCTGGGGGATTGAAGCTCCTGACCAGGACTGCCGCAGACACCACAAGCACAAGAGCACACAGAAAATACATCACTCATGCAGCACACATGCACAACCAATACATTAGACATGCACCATACACACCACAAAAACACAAACCGCAAGGCCACCACGGTACGTCACCAACGATACACCACACATGCACCAAGCAAGAGCCGCTTTCCGCGTGTATTTGAAACGCCTCCTGCGTCATCCGCGGACAATCAGAGAGAACCGTGGGCGTGCCTGGGCCCAGGTGCGCTTGTTGCCCCATGTTTCCGCTTGCTTCAGAACTGCCTTGGACTCGCCCCCGTTGCCACCTCCGAGAATGGTTAGATTGGGCAGTGCAGCAGCTGCACCTGCGAACGGATAACTCATGAGTCGAAGTGCCACTGACATGCTCAAAGATGTTTAACCCAATTTCGCGTGGATAAGGACCCCCCCCGCTGAGGCGGTTTTTTTTTTGCGCTTTCGTATCGGCATGTTGGAGGAGCCGCACTAGGTTACCGCTGGTGGCCCCTTGCGGTGTCCACGCTTGAAGGCTTCACCTGTGACGCGGCCACTCCCCCGAGGTTCCTTCGATTGGCGGGGGAGTAATGTCAGTTTTCGACCGGACCTCGCACGAGCTTGACATGATGGTATCGGCTGTGTGGTCCGAGCGATTCGCTTTTCGGTGCCCCCGTTTAGCGCTATCGCGGGTGCAGCCAACTCTGCCTCGCCGTCGACGGAAAAAGTGTGGTCCGAGTGCTGTGCTCGTTTGCGCAGCCTCGTTGAGTTCATGCGAGTAACTGCAGCGGCGGCCACGCTGCACCTGAAGATGGCCAGGTCGAGACATGTGTGGAGACGGTTTTTCGCGCCAAATCTTTTATTTGAGTGCCTCCCGTGTGTTCGACGGGCACCGTGGATGCTGCGCAAGCGTCCGCTAAACGTGAGGTCAGGCAAGCATTCAGCGATCCATAACGCGAGCCATAAACAATTAGTTGATTACGCTACCCTCACATATCATAACTTACGGTTTGCTATGGTCGTGCGCGTGCCCGCCGGTCGCTATCAGGATCTCCAGCACCCACTCAACCGCTCTTGCTTTTGCAATGTACTTTCGCATATTCGAAGGCGCTGGCGAACGCTTGTGGTACCTTTTTCATAGATTCTGTTTTCAGCTACGGGGGATCTCTCTTGCCGTCCGGGCTGTCCCAGTGAAGGCAGCCGACTCCGACTGTCTCTTGCTGGTCCGCGATTCCGCCGAGTCCCTGGCAGTCCTGTATCCCGTCCGCGCCGCGTCATCATCTTGTGCGGACCGAACCTCTAGGACCGTTCCTGAACTTGCAGCGGCCTTCACGCTGGAGGGTTTCTCCGAAGGGCTTAGGCGACCCCTCCTCCTCCTCATCCTCCTCATCCTCCTCCTACTCCTCCTACTCCTCCTACTCCTCCTACTCCTTCTCCTACCTATCCTTCTCCCTCCTCCCTCCCCCTCCCCCTCCTCCTCCTCCTCCTCCTCCTCCTCCTCCTCCTCCTCCTTCTCCTCCTCCTCCTCCTCGGGTCGCCTACGGCCCCGGGGGAAACCGCGCACTTCACGCGCGCGCTTCGTGCGCGCGCAGCCGCACGCTCCTGGGAAGTCGTGGGCTCGGCCGCAGGGCGGCCGCGCTCGCTTCCGCCGCCCGCCCGCGCGGGGTTCCCTTTTTTTGTCTCTCTCTCTCTCTCTCTCTTTTTCTCTCTCTCTCTCTCTCTCTTTCTCTCGCTCTCTCTCTCTCTCTCTCTCTCTCTCCCGCGGCCGCCGTGTGCGGGTGGAGAGCTGGCCCGCCCGACAGACGCCGCCTCCTCCTCCCCTCCCCCCCCCACTGGCGCAGCTCTTGCTGCCCAGGCTCCGTCCTGTGGCTGCAGTGGCGTGGCCATCGATTCCTTTCGGTCTCGTGAGCTGCTGCTGCTGCTGCTGCTGCTGCTGCTGCTGCTGCTGCTGCTGCTGCCAGGCAACGCGTCAGGGATTTGCGCACGCGCGAGGCCCCTCGGCCAACACCACCCCCCCCACAATTCGGCAACAAGCCATGGGGGCCTCGTGTGCCCTAGAAGTTCCGTCTCTCTAGCGTCGGCCAGCGTCGACTGGCGTCTGGGCGTCGACGAGGTGGCGCCGCTT